CCTGGTCGCTCAATGCAACCAGGTGACAGGAACTGTAATCTGCTGTGTCCTGTGGACACAATGGTTACAGGAGTGGCAAGCTTCCTGGCCTAGCCATGCCGTCCATCTACAGTAAAAGCACTGTGGGTGGTCAAAGGTGGTTAAAGAGTAACACCACTTTTGTTGAGAAAAAAAATCCCCTTTTGGTGAACAACAAACATTTCAAATTTGTTAACAAATTTTGTTGCAGATTCCTGCCTGTCATTTTATATTATATGTACAGCAGCACTGAGAGCGGTGTGATGATAAGTGGGCCTCCAGAAGGTAAGTATATTACCTCTTTCTTTACAGTGTGTTCATTGAATATAAGTCAGCCAGTGGCCACAGGATCATTTTAACTATAGAAGAGAAGTTCTCCAAGCTGTCTTGCTTTCAGGCAAGCCTATGTAAATCTCAAGACTGCCTGGCCACAATTATAATTCTTTTTGGCAGATAAAACTGCTCCGTTATATGTATTTTAATTGTTTACTTTTTCCCTGGAATTCAGCTTCAAATTTTACAGCAGTGATTGTCAGTATTTTTTACCATCTCCAGAGTAAAGTAGTTATAGGAAATAAGTAAGGCATGGCAGCAGGTTGCAAAGTTTTAATGATCGCTCCCCTATCTCCACCCACTCAATGTCGTTTCTGTCTCCAAAAACTCCTACTTCCATTTTCCAAGCTTTCTGCACTGTGGTACATTTGCACACAGCTCCATTCTTGAGGGCCTCAGAGACAAAGAGCGCCGTCTGTTCTATAGCACTTGACAAGTAGCTTGGCAAAGACACCCTCATTTTGATGCAATCTTCAGCTGTAAGTGAACTGACAAGCTCTGCCATTCTAGGCCAACTGTAATCTTTAATGATTAGATTAAAAATACCAAGCAGATTCCACTCCAATTCCAGTTTAATCTTCTGTAAGTATAAAATATATATATATATATATATATATATATATATATGTATATATATATTATATAAGACATACGTATATTTATAGATGCACACATTAGTAAACTATCTTCTAATTTATGTTTAGATTTTTGTGCATTTTACTTTCAGTGCTTGATATTTTTTTAATGTGGTTTCTATGCTACAAATACAGTATATATTATACTTCTTATATTAAATGTCATGCACCAATAGTTCTGTATAGAAATTTTATGTGGGAGATTAGTTGTGAATCATCAAGTTTTGAAAAAAAGATTCCTATATTAGGAACCCAGGAGGTAGGTAGAAATGTGAATTATATTTGACTATATGGAAATGATTCTTTATAAAATGAAAAGTTTAGTTGTGTAAATCCATTTTACGTGTGTATTTTAAATACAAATACATAAAAAAAGCAACTTTACTTGATTTCTCTTTTGTGCTCAGTGCTCGGAACAAGGGTGGTCTCTTCTGACCCAAACAACCAACTTTCTTTAACAGACCAAGTTGTCTAGGAAAAATGGCAGTTAGAGTGCTGAGACAAACCATTTACCACTGACAATGGTGCTTACAATGGTAAGGTCTTATTCATTTAAATAAACCTTTATCCCAAAAGGTATAAAACAAAAAACTTGCTATAAGTGCTTTAAAAGTGTTAGCCAGAGTTCAGGTTACATTTTACAATCCAAATATTTAGGCATCAAACACTACCCTCTCCCCAAATTGGTAATGCTGCTGTTCAAAGGTGTCTCCTTGTCTCCTCAAGTGGAGTGGAGACACCCAAGGATAAAAAGCGTGTTACTGGCAGAAACAGCAGGTAAAAATAAAGGAAAGAAGGAAACAAGAAAAAAGTTGGGCTGGGTAGCACTCAGCCATTCATAGCCATTTGTGTTCCGTGGATGAGGTGGTGGGGGAGATTGAACACCAAGCATCTTTGTTTGGAGTGTGGGATGGGAAGGTTACATACAGTTTACACAGCACACCTATTAGTGTTGGAAATTAAAGTGATGAAGTTAAAGTGACAGTGGCAACCGCCCATGCATATTAATGTCACAATTTCTGGCTCCGCAGCCGCCATCGGGATTCTGGATATTGTAGTTTATGCATGCTGGTTTTCTCATAGGAGTTTGTAAGTGTTTTAACTATTTTAATAAACTTTGCCACAATGATTTTACACTTTGTGAGCTTGGTGCTCCTTTTTATTTTCCTTTCAGTGACATCTTGTGAGTGTTGGACAAGTGGGGACTGTGTATCCAAGTATATTGGCTTCAGATCGGCAGTTACATTTAGCATGTTTAGACATTTCACAAAGTTGAGAGTCATACTTCCTCTGGTAAACTCATATATGTGGCTTGGTGTATGGAGCACTGGGTGTTCACTTATGAAGAATTCTGAAGAGCACTTGTGGGAAAAGTGATTTTTCACTGGTGCATTCTGGGAAACAAGCCTTCTATTAATGCATGGACTTTATGATGTTATATATCGTCATGTTATACTGTTTTATAGCAACAAAAAATGTAGTTCACTGTAATGCATGGTATTTTTTGTACCTTTGACTTTGCTAGTATGGCATGGTATTTGTAGTTTGTATTTTGTATTTTAATACTACATTGGATACTACATTGGCAGACATGTTGGAATCCCGAAAAAACTTTCTTCATCCAGATTTGCTAATTTTTTTTTGCACCAGTTTAAATTTAAAGTATAGGAAATTGGGGACCAAATCAGCTATGTTGAAAACCAGATAAGTGATTTTGCATTCATTTTCAAAGAGCTAGTAGAACATAACGTTGCTCAATTACAAAATTATGGCTATAGCAGACTGTTCACACAGCAGCAACGTAAATATTAGAGTTATGGCCTAAACCAGTTAGCCCAACTAAATTAGCCCAAAGATGATGCCATTCCTACCTAAACTGTTTTTGGAGATTCTCTATGACCAATAAGGATCATTGAGTGTATTGAGCTCTGTTCAGGCTGTTTCCACTTTCCTTCTCAGTTGTTTATTTAAGTGTTCTTGCATGGCAATACCACTTACTGTTATCTCACATATATATTCTTATTAAGTGTTCTTGCATGGCAAGACCACTTACTGTTATCTCACATATATATTCTTATTATTATAGCCAAATTTACCACCCTAACTCCTCCCACAGTTTTTACACTACATAGACAGTAATATACCGAAACGTGTGGATTGTTCCCGATTGGTGTTCTATCACTTTGTGGAATGTTTCGCCAAATGGTTCACGAAATATCGGTGTTTTTGTGGTGAAATTTTGTGGTGCCATAGGAATGAATGGCGGAATGTTCAAAACTAGAGTGGGAGCTGACAAAAGCTAGAGTGTGAGATGAAAAATCAGGACATGATTTCTAAACTGCCATCACTCCCTCATTTTCAAGCCCACCTACACAAATCTTATATCAAAACGTTCAGCTATCCATGCTGCCACTAAAAATGTCCACGGCTAAGCCATAGTCCTGATAGTTTTCACAATATGACCATTTGTTTGCAACTCACACCGCCAGTGACCTTTTCACACTTACTCCAGCCACTCCAACCACACAACAGTTACTCAAGCCACTCCACCCAGTTACTCCGCCCACTCCAGTTGTAGACTACTGGTGGAGGCAAGAACACTTCACACAATTTCCCCAGAAATTGTAGCTTTTCTAGCTAAGTTTGTTCTTGTACAGGAGATGAAGCCTCTGGATTTCTCCAATGAGCATCTCAATACAAAGACTGTCTTGGTATGCTGCCTCTCCTTTCCCTCCTATTTGTCATGTACGTCAAACCATAGTCCTTTATATGAATTTTGGGGAATGTCTCAAACGGGGGTTTTTATCTTTATAACACATACAGTTGCAAGAAAAAGTATGTGAACCCCTTGGGATTACGTGGAGTTTTGCATGAATTGGGCATACTGATTGGAGTCAAGGTTGGCTCACTCCTGGCTCCAATTAGCTCTGAGAGAAGTCATTAAGCTAGGGCTTCACATACGTTTTCCTCCCTGCACTGTGAATGTTTACATTTTATGTGCAATTAAACCATGACAACATCTAATGTGTGTGTAGTATTATGTTCAGCAGACTGTGTTCTTCTATTGTTGTGACTTAGATGACGTTCAGAGCACATTTTATGCCCAATTCATGCAAAACTCCACGTAATCCCAAGGGGTTCACATACTTTTTATTGCAACTGTATGTTGATCCACAGGTGTTAATTTACTAAATGACTAGAGCATGTTCACCTTGTGCAAGGAAACTTTCTTTTAACTTAATGACTGCAATGAAAATTCACTTTGCAAAGAACACCCAATCATGTGTAGGGAAAATTAATAGAAACAGCAATTTTGTTTGCACATGATTGGAAGAGGGAAGCCATGAGAGCTTCCCCTCATTTACTACTGTCACAGTGTGCCTTCACCCTCCCCCCTCCTCCCCCCTTGCCGTGTCCTCATCCTACACAGCCTCGGAAGCCAGGCTGTGCAGGATGGGGGGAGGGGACCCCTGCGGTGAGGATCACAGCTCATCCAGCAATCTAGGCAGAGGAGCTGTGACCCCCCCACCAGGAGACCCCAGCGGCAGGCCACCAAGGTGTCTCCACGCACCCTGGCAGGCACGGTGCGGGCACGAGGTGTTCCTGTGCCCTGCGCCCACCGGAGACAAAGGCCGTGCTCCCTCAGTGCAGCCCGAGTCAGGGGGCGTGCCTCGTTGCCCCGGCAACGCGGCACTGGGCCAGCCGGGGCAACCCGGAAGCGTCCCATGCGGCTTTTAAAAGGCCAGTGCGAGACCAGGCTCTCTCTCCCTTTCTCCTGCGGTGTCCGGCCACTCTCCCTCGGCCCGCGGCCACCGCTATCGTGGGAGGTCCAGGTGGGGACCGGGCCTCCACAGCCATCCCCGCTGAGCGCTCTGCATGAGCCCCCCTCCTCAAAGGTCAGACCGCACAGCCATGACTTCCGCTGCTGTTCCTGGCAAGCTGGCTGCTGCGAGGGCCCCTGCCTGCTGATCGCTGGGCCCCTGGAGAAGCTGGCCCCTGCCTGCTATTCGGTGCTGTCCCCTGAAACGCTGGCCACTGTGAGGGCAGCCGTCCATTGCTGAGGGTCCATTGGAAGCCGCCCTGTCTGCTGATCGCTGGGGCCCTAGGAAGCCACCCTGTCTGCTGATCGTGGGGCCCCTGGGAAGCCGTCCTGTCTGCTGACCGCTTTGTCCCTGGAAGCTGCCTGCTGCTGAGTGTCCACAAGTCGTCTACCCCCCTGGAAGCCGCCTGCTGCTGAGCACCTGCAAGACGCCTATCATGAGTGTCTCTAGAAGCCATGAACTGTCCCTATTGTGTGCACAGACCACCCTTGTCCTGAACTGTCCCTGTTGTACGCACAGACCACCCGTGTCATGAACTGTCCCTATTGTGCGCACAGACCACCCGTGTCTTGAACTGTCCCTATTGTGCGCACAGACCACCCGTGTCTTGAACTGTCCCAATTAATTGTTGATATTTAGTTCACAACTGAGTCTTTTCAACATATCCTGCACCTTAAAGGGACGTTTCTTGTTATATTCATATCATATATATTGGCATAACTTAATGTGATCTGCTACCTAAGTATGTTTTTATCATTTCATCGATACTATTCAGCATATGTACATACCTCATTAATTTTAGCGTTGCACTACTTTTTTATATTATAGTAATACTTATCTGATGACACAACCTAAAAAGTTTAAATGTCAAAGTTCTTTGACATCAACCCCCTTTCTGTAACAAATCATGTTATATTGTGAAATTCCAACATGACCTACATGAGATGAATTCTTATGAAAACAAGCACATTGGTGAGAAAGCAGAGGACACAGCAGATTAATACTTGACTAAACTCTATCAGATCCTTGGATTCAGAAAATAAATCTTGTCCCTCCAATGTGATGTAAATAATTACCTAGACGTAGATATGAACTTTTCTCTTAACCATTGCTGTGTTGTTAATAAAGCAGGTAAAATTGCCCAAGTCAAAGAACATTATGTTACATTGAAAATACCTATTTGATTCATCCTAAAAAATATATTTAATAATCAAGAAATAGCTTAAACGTTTAGTGATTAATATAATAAACCATACAATCTGAAAGGATGGCTTTTTGAAGGACTACAGAAAAAAAAATCACTGCCTTTTTGATTTCCTATCTATTAACCATTTTAAATGTTGTTGCTTCTTCTGGCTCCTCCCCAGGGCTTTCTTACTCAGAGAATATGTGCAGGAACTCCCCCCTTCTGAGTCACTCCTTGGCTCCACCTCTGAGCACCGTTCCTTGGTTCCACCCCCTACTCACCTCCCAGTACAGCCCCTTTTAGAGAATACAGAACCAAGTATTTTGTGCTGTTAAGTAATTTTTATGGAATTTGTTAATGATAATAGGGAAAATAGTAAAATAGATTCCCTGCAGCAACAACAGATCCACCCAGAAAGAATAGATCCCTCAGCAACAATAGATTCCCCCAGAAACAATAGACACCTGCCAGCAACAGTAAATCTCCCAGCATCCAGCATCAAAAGACCCTCCAGAAGCTAGGAAAAATAGACTGCTCTCTCAACAATTAAATCCCTCCCAGCAACATAAGATAACCCAGCAACAATATACCACCCCTGCAACAATATATCCCCTCTTGCCATTACATACATTCAGTGCAAAAGGTACTGGGATTGAGTTCCCTGCATTCCCGCTGACAAAAAGCCCTACTCCTTCAAATCTGAGATTCATAAAGCTAATATAATTACTCTGAAAAACCACCTGTCACCCCTGTGTTTAGGCCCATCTCTTGCTTAAATTCAGATTCAAACATTTTTGTCAAAATTATATCTGATAGGCTGCTGAATATTCGTACACAAGGTGACAAGCTACTGACACCACTAACTGAATCTTTAACTGTTAGATGCTCAAAGCTATGTCAGATGCCCCCTCTGCTCCTTGCACTGTATGTTGAGAGGGCAAGGATATCATCTCCATAAATTTGGCTTCATGGACAATATCCTAGCTGTCATACCAACATTAAAAATATCTCCTCCAACCCGGGATCATACCTGATATGCCTTTGAAGACCATGGAACCTTTCAGGCTTGCCCCCTGTCTCCTCTTATATTTAAACTCCTATTGGAACCCCTGGCTGAGACTATAAGATTATATCCAGAGATTAATAACATAACTGGTAATAGTCACTCACAAAATGACTTTATTTGTTGATAATGTTCTCTTGTCACTTTCAGACGTGGTTTCTTTCCTCTCTGTGGTTCATTAATTGTTCAAATCTTTGAATAGTGTATCTTATTGCAAGGTTAGCAAAAGTATATTGTGTATTCCAGGCATGGGAATAGACCCAATTATACCTCACCATATACTGTACATGTAAGTCTGATACCCTAATTAATTTGGATATTATCCTTACAGCTTCCCTATTATACAAATACAGTTTTGAACCTTTGAACCCCTACCAGAACAGACCCAAACTGAACTAAAGAGATTTGGAAATTTCATATAGCCTGGTCAGACAGACAGACATCTGACAACATGCTACCAAAGAATTTATATTACTTCATAGCCTTACCAGTTCCTCTCCCTGCCTCCCGTTCTTTTTTGTCATGATCAAAACATTTGTATGGCTGAACTGAGGAGCCAGATGTTAATCTATACTTAAACACTAACAAATAGACAGTATGGGATTTTCTGCTATGAAAGACTACTACTTAGCAACAATGAAATGTCGAATGAGAAATTAGTTATATATCCCTCAAAGCAAATACTCCTGCTCAATAGGAAAGATGCAATATCTAAGAAGACATTTCCCAATTCTCCTTTCAGATATGAATAATAAAAATAATCTTTACTCCTTAAAGGAAAAGTATAGCCAAAGCTATTTAGTAAACCAAACTCACGGTGTCCCTTACCATTTGCAATTTCTCTAAATCTACAAGATGAAATTTAAAATTACTTCTATCATTGCTAAAGGAGTTAAGAATGCTTTAATCACTTCCCGTCTGGCCCTTGTATACAAATGGCCAGACGGGAGCAGTGCAGGAGCAGGTGGCCGTCTATAAATGTCCTCCCTGCTTCCCTGCTTGTGCGCGCTCCCTGGGAGCGGGCAGCACCGCGATCCGGTGCCCGCTCTGTCCTCTGGACACAGCAGAACTCCAATCGCTGTATGGGACCTCTGTGTGAGGTCCCAATCATGTGATCACTGATTGGCCAATCAGTGATCACATGAATAGTAGTAAGCAAGATGTCACTACTGACATCATTGCTTACTACGTGTGAAATCTGTGAATGATCAGAGAGATCACATGGTACAAGGCTATTCACAATAGCTTTGTACCATGTGACAAGCTGTGACCAATCACAGCTTGCACAGTATTTCTCAATGGCTGCAAGAATGCAGCCAGAGAGAAGGAGAAAGGATTGCTTTTACAGTCTTTATGGGTATAAAAGCAATCAGTGTAAAAAAAAAAAAAAATCTTCTTTACTCCCCACAAGTAATATAAAAAAATAAAATAAAAATGTAAAAAAAAAAAATAGAAAAATTATAATTTTTGGTTATAAACTAATTTGGGTTATTTTTTTTTTTTATTAAAAAGATAACTGAATAAATTGTGTCCAAGATTTATGAAGAAATATTATTTATTTGCAAAATTTTATAAGAAAAACACTTTTATCCATATGGGTACAGTGTTGCATGACCGCACAATTGTCATTCAAAGTGTGATAACACTGAAAGCTGAAAATTGGCCTGGACAGGAAGGGGGTGAAAGTGTCTGGACTTGAAATGGTTAAAAAGGTATATAATGTGGAAAGAAGCTAGACTCACTCACTAGGATACCCACAGGAGTGCAGTTTGTTCTGCATTCCTGTAACCCGTTTTCAGCCGACAGTGGGCTGGCTAAAGTCCAATGTCTGCTGACCTCACTCAGCCAGTTCAGGCTCTGAAAAGATCTCTGCTCAGAGCAGAGGGGGAGAACTGAGCAATCAGCTGTGTTTGATTGCTCAGTTCTCACTACAGAGCTGATGGATGACAGATGCAGCATCAGATCGATGCTGCATCCATCTAGGTGAATATAATTTTTTTTTAAAGTTCCTATTTCTCTTTAACAACACTATCCAAGCCACATTGTATGTATGGCAAACCTTCCTACAAGCCAATCTTGAATATAGTGAAAATACATCACCTTCCATGCACATAGAAATATATGAATACCTTATTCTAGATCTCAATCTATCATCTTGGATAGATAATGTAGAAAAACTCTGGATGACTTTCTTCACCAAGGGAAATTAGCCTCATTCTCCTCCCTTGTCTCCAGATCTTCTTTATCTGAACAGGAGTACTTTACACATCTAAGAATAGCTTATTTTGTAGAAAGATAACTGCCACCCACAGATACCTGTACCACCTGACACTTGCATATTGCTGTGGATCATTTTATTTTATAACTTTCCACACTCTAAGGTGACATTTACTGAGACAGGAATGCAACTTAGAGAAAACATTTTCCCCAATTACAATGGATCTACAAAATTACGGTAGATCTAATGTCAAATAATCATGAAGTCACTGGAATTCCCTATTCCATTTGATATCGGAGGCCACTGGTTTACTTGTATCTTCTTTGCCAGAATGCTACTTGTTAGCCTCAGCCACAGAATTGGTCAGATCCAATGCTCAGAACTTAAATCATGCATACTCTTTCTGCTGCTAGAAAATGGGAAAAAACATTATATGCAATGTACTGTACTGCATGTTTGAGAGAATAATAACATATAGAATTAACAAAAATAACAATCCAACAAGGAATGGGGCTTATGTATTCCTCACCCAAGAAACCACATGCCCCCTCTTTACATCTCCACTGGTATAAGTTATACTATAGAAAAGTCTTTGTTTTTATTATTCTATATTCTATATATATTGTTGATAATCAATTTTACTTACCTGGAAAAACTTTTTGAGTTGATATACTTCTATATACAGTATGTACCATCATAAATAACTCTGTGTTACAAGTCATCTACTGGGTATCAGCCTGTATTTTGTAAACTGCGTAACCATATCCACAATTGTATTGTTTTCTATGAACATCACTTGTAATTTTGTATAATTATTTTTGTATATTAAAGGCTAATGTTTATTTTACAACAGGTGATTATGTTAAATAACAGACAGACATACAAGCTGAGGGAAGTAAAACCACAGAAAATGATAAAAGTAATGGAACCAAAGGTATTGCAATGCATTTCTTTCCTCAGGCTTTAGAGGACTTACAGGGCACAGTCCCGCTGTTACAGAGGAACAGCCTTTGCTTGTGATTATTTTTCTGTCTTTTTTAATATTTTTGTCCTTTCATTCTCCAACTGACTTTTCCTCTGTCTGTGTGTTTTTTAGCTGTTTACTCAATAAATTTT